ATTACTCGGCGGGGCGCAATTAAACGCAAAGCCGTCTGAGGGCGGTGGGGATGGAGAGGAATCGTCGTTGGTGTTCCCAGCTATTCGATCTTGCCTCTCGTAATTCGAATATTTTCGCTATTTCCTCCTCCTCCCCCTCCTCGCCAGACGATTCATCGATTCCGTTTATTAATAGAGGCAACTTTCGGATTATTCATTAACGCCGATGCACACCGGCGCGAATTATTTCGCGCCGTAAATTACAGCGGAGCTCTGGGTCAACTTTGCCCGACTATTCAACCGCCGGCTAATAATTTCCCGCGAGTATTTTGCGAGTAAACAACCTCGAACGAACGGACGAGGCTCGAAAGAGACAAGAATAGAGTACCGATTAGAGCTTTTTCCTTCCGTTCGCCCTAATGAATTGATCACAGACGACGAGTGAGTTAGTCGGTTAAGAAAAATCTTCCTTTGATTTCGACTAATTAATTTAGTCGATAAAGATTTGGCTACGTAAGAGATACGCGCGAGAATATTGCTCCAGTCTGTCTGGAACGATCGATGAAAATTCTCTCGCGACGAGTCTGCGAGTTCTCTCTTTTTCTCTCTCTCTCTCTCTCTCTCTCTTTCGATAAATAGTCTAGACGGAAGATAAATTTCGCGAAATTGGCGACAAACGGTTCACAAGTTTGAAAGCTACGCTATTACAAGAGATACTTTCGAATTGCCCGAAGCAATAGCTTTAATTACGAAACACGCGTAGCTTTTCCTTTCGGAATGTAAAGGCGTTCGAAAGCAAAGGGAAAGCGTAGGCCGACATCGTCAGTTTTCTCTTGATAATCGTTAGCTGTACTGGCAAGAGCGTAAAACATCGTTGAACGAATCTGGGCGGAAATATCGGTCAGAGGGGTGAGCGGAGGGATTAACGCGTAGAACGATAAAAATATAAGAACGTTAGGGGAAGGTGAGTTGGAAATAACGGAGCCAAGGTTACGAAGGCACGGTTTTGCGAAAAGGCCGATCGGTCGATCGCGCTACGATATTTGGGTCGTGAAAAATCGTCGATCGTACGCGACGTTTTACGCGGTGCATTTATCCGTGAGATTATCGATCGATCGACGATCGCAATTATACTCTGGTAATCACGTATTTGTCGACGTTCTCGGGCACGGATAAAACACAGGCAGCAGTAAGAATCGCGCTTTCGCACCGTTAGACAAGTGGTGGAGCACTCTTCTCGAATGCGTGGAATTCGTAATTGGAGCGAAATCGATTCGCCCCGACGCAAGTTGTCATCCTTACGTCGCCGTTATGGATATGGACGGTCTAATAATAAGTTTTCCCGCGAAAATCGTTATTGTTCGCCGCAAGATTTATCGAAGCGACGGTCGCACAATCGCCGACGTAGCTGGAATTAAGTCGCTGACTGTTCTCGAACCGAGTCGCGAGAGCAAAGAAGAGAGTACGTATATTTTTCGAGGTGAAGATGCAAGAAAAAGTTGGTCGCGGGCAAGAGGGATGAAGCTTGCTCATCGAATATTCATCGAGCGAAGAAAGAAAATTTCAAAGACCGACCGTCCAGTTCTGAAGATCTTGCATCATTATTTCTTCTTCTTCTTCTTCTTCTTCTCCTCCTTCTCTTCTTTCATTCCTTGGTGCCTGGTTCTTCCCTTCCTGCGTCGCGATCCTTTGGAGATAATTGCGCCGCGTTTATTAAAATTACAACATCGCGACCGGTCGTGATCGCGGCAAGTGTCGTAAATAAGGTTGGAGCAAAGCGAATCGTAACTAGCGGTGATACGAGAGTGCAGGGGCATTGATGGCAGCGTGCCTAATTATAGACGATACGATCGATTCGCGAGAGCCACGCTCTCGTACGTGCGGCCGCATATACGCGTTATATGTATTCGTGCACGAAATCACATCAGCTGGACGAGCGATGGACGAGCGATAGAAAACTGTGCGTGGATTTTTATTCGCGGAACAGTCCGACGGAGAGATTTTTTCGGCGGTTCCCGTCCTCTGGCAAACACACTTCGATTATATGGAGATTGGCGAGCCATCGATACCCGGATTGCATCCTCACGTTCAAGCCGCATCTAGTAAATTTCTTTCGCGTTAATTTTACCTTATCTTACGATTTTTTACTCGTTCCATCGCCAACAGTTGGTTGAAAGTTGTCCTTGAAATGACTTTGATTCGACGTTCTTTTGACTTTTAATGATAACCTTTAGACGATCTCTCCGAGGTGAACTCGGACGAATCCAAAAAAAAAAAATCCATCGATGTTTAAATGGCAAAAGTTCAGCGATAATTTGATGTTTGTGTAAGCATCGCGCAACGCTTATTTCTGCGATATAACGTTTCTTGAAACGAATAATCGATAGATAATCAAATCGACTTCCGAATAAATAAACTTGAAACTTTATCGATACAAAATCGATAATGTACCTATATACATACATATATATATATATATATATATATATATATATATATATATATATATAT